TGGCTATCGTGGTCCTGTCTGAAGTTAGATGGATGTGGTTGTAGTTGAGTGCATGAGCACACCTGCTGTTTCTGTGAGAAATATGCAGGAATTAGAATATTGAGTCTGGGCCAATGGCTATCTAGGGGCAGTGGCTAAGATTCCATCACATGGACTTGCCTGCTGTTCTAGTGAGGCATATTAGGGATAGTGGGTCTGGAGGCCCATGGTGTGGTTAAAGCCAGATTGTGTGGTCAAATCAGGACATGCCTGCTGTTCAGTGATGCCCATAAGGAACTTAAAATATTGAGGCTGGAGGCAGCTTTATTAGGATTCCATCAATCCCATTTGGATGACCTTATATACTAAGGGAATCGATGGAAGTTTCCACCCAGGGCAGTTTTCTCATTTGAGAATGGAGCTTTGCCATGTTGACTCCAGGTCCCAAATCCCTGTGGGGAGAGCTCCATGTAGTTTGGAAAGCTCAGCGTGGACCAGGTTTCTTTGTCTTTGCTCTTTTGCTTTTAGGTTGAAAAAGGCCTTGTAAAGCTAAGCTAGCAGAAATATTTGGCAAACTAGTAAAAATGTTTACTTTGTTGAGTCTGCAATTTTTATTTGGTGATAATTTTGATTTTCATTTTTATATGTGGGATTGTATATGATGTTAACATTAGCTATTTGGGGACTTTACTGTATGGCACTGGTGAAAGCAAGTAAAAGGACACTGCTTATGCCTTCCCAGAGACTACAGAAGACTGTTCTGAGTTTGGGACGAGGACTGTGTTAAAAAACTTATGCCCTTGAGCATGTTCTCTCTCTCTCTCTCTTCCTTCACCTCCCCCCCCTTCCCTTTCCTACTGCCTCGAAAAGGTGAAGATCACAGTTCACCCAGTGTGAGCACCATGAACTGAACTAGTGAGAAGGGAAAGACTTCCTTCTTTTTTTTCTCTTTTACCCCACCTCTGAAAAATCAGCCTGGGGTGATTTTTGTTTTGGTTTGTTTTTTTCTGTTCTGTGTTGTTTATCCTTCTCAATTTCAGGTGCCAGCAGTAGACTTGGAAGTTGGAGTTGCAGCCAGCCCTGCACAGGGTCCAGACTAGTTTTTGGACTTGGAACTGGAATGGCCCTATAGGAAATGAACTAAGCTATAAATCAGAAACTGAGGTATAAGAGAAGAGAGTGGTGATGCCTATATCAGGGATAAGTTTGTATATTTTCACCTTTTGAAGTAAATGTTCCTTTGTAAAAACGAATCTGTTAGTGGGTAAATGAAATTGTGATGCAGGGGACCATGCCCTACACTTGGGGGTAGCACCATCAGCAGGGGATGGAGCCATTGGCAGGGAGCCTAGACACCCCCAGATTCCCTTAAGGGTACAAGAAAACCCTGGAGGAGAGATGAAATCTAACACACCTGGCCTTCAGGCAGTGGGAGACAGGTTTACCACTGTTACACGAGTATCCCATATCCTACTTCCTTACCTTTGTACAGGCTGCTCCATACCTGGAATTCACTTGTTCACCTCCAAAGGCCTAAGAATCTTTAGTCAGTTTAGTCAGTAAGCATTTATTTAGCACTTCCTATAGGCCAGGCACTTGGGCCTGGGGATACAAAAAAAAAGTCAAAAACAGTTTCTGCCCTCAAGAAGCCCACATTCTAACAGGGGAGAAACCACTGTAAATCACTTAATTATATGTGTAGTTGTTTTCAGTCGGGTCTGACTCTTTGTGACCACATTTGAGGTTTTCTTGGCAAAAATACTAGTTTGCCATTTCCTTTTCCAGCACATTTTCCAGAGGAAACTGAGGCAAACAGGGGTAAGTACCTTGTCCAGGGTCACACAGTTAGTATGTGTCTGAGGTCAGATTTGAACTCAGAAAAATGAGTCTTCCTGACTCCAGGCTCAGAACTCTATCCACTTCACCACCTAGTTTACCCATACAAGAGACATAGAATAAATAGAAAGTAATCTCAGAGTAAGAGTCAATAAACATTTATTAAGTGCCTACTATGCTAAGTGCTGGGGATGCAAAGAAAGGTATAAAACAGTCCCTGCCTTCAAGGAGTTCACAATCTAATGAGGGAAGACAACATATAAAAAGAAGATGAAAAGGAGAAGGGCTATGATAAAGTACTGCAGTCATGGTGGGAAATGATCCATGCAAGTGTTAGTTACAGAACTGGTTTCATTTTGCCAAGTGATGAATTTCTGGAGATCACAAAGTCCAGAAGAGCAACTGGGTGGGAAATGACCAGGTGAATGCCCTGAAAGCCCTCCTTAAATAGTGGAGGACCTGGGAGGAGGTCTTCAGTGGATACTGTCTGCCCTCACCAACTAGAAGGAAGGTGGGAGGGATCTCAGGGGTAGGTGGTAGTACCAAAGAGGGGTAAGCTTCAGAGTTATTTTCATTTTGAAAAAGAATGAGTTTCTGGAGATCATGAAGTCCAGGAGAGCAGCCAAGTGGTAAAAAAAATCTTAGGGGAAAGTCTCCTGAAGGTGGGATTTGAGCTAAGTCTTAAGGAAACCAGTAAAACCAAGAGATGGAGGTAAGGAAGGGGAGAATCCCAGGCATGATGAACTAGGACCAGAGATGGAGTGGGGGCTGGGGGAGAACAGCAAATGGAGAGTAAGTATAAGATTAATAGAAAGGTAGGAAGGGACCAGGTTATGAAGAACTTTAAGTGTTAAACAGAGGAGTTTGTATTTGATTTTGGAGGCAATAAGCAGCTGCTGGAGTTTACTGAGTAGTGGGATGACATGGCCAGATCTACACTTTAGGAAGATGACTTTGGTAGATGAGTGGAAGATGGAGAGAGATGAGGCAAGGAAACCAGTTAGAAGGCCATTGCAATACACTACTTGATATGATTAAGGCCTGAACTAGGGTGACTGTGTGAGTGAACAGAAGGGTAATGCATGAGAGATGTAAAGATAGAAATGACAAGATCAGGTAGTGCGCTGGATATGTGAGGTAACAGGAGTCAGAGATGACACCAAGTCAGGTGATTGTGAAGATGGCAGTACCCTTGACAATAATAGGGAAGTTCAGAAGAGGGGAGGGTTTGGAGGTAAAGAAAATGAGTTCTCTTTAAAACATGTTGATTTTGAGATGTCTCCTAAAACATCCTGAAATGTTCAAAAGGTGACTGGTACCCAGGAGACTGGGATTGGATTTTATATATATGGGAATCATCTGCACAGAAATGAGAATTGAACCCATGAGAGAAGGCGGCCCAGGACAGAGCTTTGGGAGACCCTCATAGACAATGGGCATGATATGCATAAACAACCAGCAAAGGAAGCCTGACTGAAGAGAGCTCAAACAGGTAGGAGAGATATCTAGGAGACGATGGTGTGAAATGCTACAGAAAGTTCAAGAAGGCAGAAGACTGAGAAAAGGCCACTAGACATATATAATACTGCAGAAAAAAACACTGCAACTGAAGTCAGAGAACCCGAGTTCAAATCCTGCCTATCGTATGCTACTGGTATGGCTTCAGTTAAATCATTCCACCTTTTGCTGTATCAGTTTGTGAGGGGGTTTGGACCAGATAACCTTTAAATTCCCCTTCATTTGTATGACTATGATTCTGATACTCCATCTCACTGAATCTGTTTCCTAATCTATAAAATGGGGATGCATCTTCTGCACAAGTCATCCCCATGTCTTGAAGGCACTCATTACTTATGATCACCTCTCAGACTTCAAGAGTTGAGGCACCTACTCCCTGAAAATGCTTCATCGTCCATCTCCTGTTATTAATGTCCCTCTCTCAAATTAGCTTGTATTTATAGATGTATCCCCTCTCTAAGGCCATTTTCTCATACACAAAAGAAGAGCAATTAGACTTATCACTAAGCCCCTTCCATCTCTCACATTCAATTGACTCTGACTTTTCTTGGTATATCTAACTACTCCTTTCTTACTACCCCTCCAAATGTCGGCTCACCGAAATTTCAGCCTTGGGCCCTCTATTCTCCACCCTCTAAATTCACTTATTCAAGGCCCACTCATAGGATTTCAATTAATACCAGAGGGAAAATGCTTATTGAATACGGAGAAATTTGACTTATATCTCCAGCCCTAACTCCTCACACTCTCTCCAGCATAGAATACTCAAAGGCCCAAAGAATATTTACCATTTGGATATGGCCCAACACATGAGATTTCAGATGCTCTCCAATACATAAGTCATTCCAACTCTGCCCATCACCAGTAATAACACTAACATCTTTAGTCAGAGAGAATAAAAGATTCTTCTGGATTAAGCCTATAGGGACAAAGTCAGGTTATTTTTATGCAATCCATGCCATTTTCTGAAGGACAGCAAGCTTTTAATTAATAAGGGGAATTCTTTGACTGTGATCCCTGACTATAAGTTCCATGGGGGCAGGGACTGCTTTCTTTTTATTAATTGTATCCCCAGCATTTAGCACAGTGCCTGGAACACAGTAGATGCTTAATAAGTGTTTACTGGATATTAGTTACTGGAACTCTCACATTGTGGTTATGAAAGAAGCTATTACTGAAAGCTTTCAGCACAACCATCATTTTAATCATTTAATAAATAAGCACTATTCTTTATTGCCTGTCCAGACAGTGGAAGGCTAGATGCTATGTCAATAGAATTAAGAAAAACTTAATCAGTACTCTCAAAAAGCTTACAAAGGTCTGTGACTCTAAATACATTCTCTGAGATCCACAAAGTTCCCAAAACTCAACATATTCATGAATTAACTGTTACCAGTTCTCTTATGTTAATGAAAATACCTGGAGGAAAAAAGGCTTTCTCACATTCATATAGTCTCTCTCTCTCTCTCTCTCTAGTATCAAAGTTCTGATATTATATAAATATGAAGTACTCATTAAAAGCTTGCCCACAATTATTACTTTTGTTTTATTTCTCCCTAGTTTGAATTATTGGATATTCATTAAAGGCTACGCTCCTCTTATGAGCTTTCCTATCCTCCTGTTTAAGCAGTTTTGCCTCTGGTGTGAACACTGATCTCAATTAAGGACTGAAAGGTAACTGAATGTTTTTCATATTTACAACATTTAGATGGATTTTTAATATGTTTTCTGCAATGTTTGATAAAGAAAATGTCTTCTCTCTACTAGAGATTATTTGATCTAGCACAAGGACTGAATAGCAACTGATGTATTTTTCACATTCACAAAATTTCTCTCCTGAATGAATTATCTGATGCACCTAAAACTAGTGTAATGTTAAGTAAAGGCTTTCCCATATTCATTATATTAAAAAATAAACAAACAAAAACAACTGGCCAATATGATGTCTATGATATTCAAGGAGTGGATTTTTGTTGAAGACTATTCCACATTTATTACACTTATAAGACTTTTTTTTCAATATGTCCTCTGCTGCCAAATAAAATCTGTAAACTAATTGAAGACTATCACACATTAATTTCACTTAAATTGTTTCTTGTCTATGTGACTTCACTAATATTTACGAGCTCTTACTCAAGGAGGAAAGAGAAGGAAATAAACATTTATACAGCACCTTCTCTATGCCAGGCACTGTGCTAAGTGCTTTCAAATATTATTTCATTTGATCCTCACATAAAGGCTCTCTCATATTCATTATACTTATTGAGTTTTCAACCAGAATGAATTTTTTCATGTCGAATAAGATATGAATTTTGACTGAAGGCTTTCCCACACTTATTACATTCATAAGGTTTCTCTCCAGCATGAATCCTCTGATGTTTTAAGAAATCTGAACTTCGACTAAAAGCTTTCTGACACTCATTACATTCATATGGCTTCTCCCCAGTATGAGTTCTCTGATGCTGGATTAGGTGAGAACTCCGACTAAAGGTCTTCCCACACTCATTACATACATATGGTTTTTCCCCAGTATGAATTCTCAGATGTTCCTTAAGGACTGACCGTCTACTGAAAGCTTTTCCACATTCATTACATTCATATGGTTTTTCTCCAGTGTGAGCTCTCTGATGACGAATGAGGAGAGAATGGCGACTGAAGGCTTTCTTACATTCACTACATTCATAGGGTTTTTCTCCACTATGAATTATCATGTGCTGACTAAAACCTTTGATGTAGCTGAAGGCTTTCCCACATTCACTACATTTAAAAGGTTTTTCCCCAGTATGAATTTTCTTATGTTCAGTAAGATGTGAGCTTTGACTGAAAGCTTTGCCACATTCCTTACATTCATAGGGTTTCTCACCAGTATGAACTCTCTGGTGCTGAATAAAACTTGAGGACTGAGTGAAGGCTTTCCCACAGTCATTACATTTGTAAGGTTTCACTCCAATGTGCACTCTCTCATGTCGAATGCAGTATGATTTCCGACGGAAAGCTTTCCCACATTTGTTACAAACATGAGGTTTCTCTCCAGTATGAACTATCTCATGTAGAATAAGATCCGAGTTCTCACTGAAGGCTTTCCCACATTCATTACATTCAAAAGGTTTCTTTCCAGTATGCATCTTCTGATGTCGTGTAAGATGTGAGCCATGACTGAAGGCTCTACCACACAGATTACATTCATAAGGTTTCTCTCCATTATGAATTCTCTGATGTTTTCTTACATCTGAGCTTCGACTAAAGGCTTTCCCACAGTCATCACATTCATAGGGCTTTTCTCCAGTATGAATTCTCTGATGCTGAATAAGGGCTGAATGACGTACAAAATTCTGACCACAAGTATCACACTTGTAGCTTCTTTCTTTTTTATGAATTCTTTGATTTGTAACATCGTTTGAGCTACAGCTGACCAGTCTACCAAATTCATTAAGTTCCTGGCCTTTCTCTCCTTCAGTTGTTTTCTGTTGTAAGACAAGCATTTGTTTGGAAATGGATTTACTATGTTTCTTTCCCCTGACGTTTCTAATCTGCTCCTCTAAACTGCTTTCCTTTACATAGTCTTCTCCAACGTCCAAGACCTGGGAAGTATCCCTTGGGTACTTCACTGATGCATTTTTATATATTTTTCTCCCTTTAGCAACTTCCTGTCTTAGAGACAACTTTTCCTTGGATTTTTTCTTATAACCTGAAACAAAGCAAAAGTGCAAATATTGTGTCTTGTTCTTTTGAGGAGAAAGTAAACTCCTATAGAATAGAAATACTGAATTCACACGAATGGAATAATAAGATGGCAACATTGGTGGCAGAAATGTCTGGGAGAGACAGGATAACCTGTCAAATAAATGGGTTGTTTCACCAGTGATGCCAAAAAAATCTGAATAAGAGATAGGATGAGACAGATATGGAATAAATGAACCTGAAGGTCACAGGTGGACAAAGAATGAAAATAATGGAGAGTGGCAAGGTAGAAGAGATGAGATTTAAGGGAATTTGAGAAAAGAAGTCTGTGGGTCAAGGAGGATGGGGGCTGACAGCATAGATTGGAATACCTGAAATTGGGAGATAACTGGGAGTAAGAACTGTATTTGGCCAAAAAACAACTCAAAAATGGGGAAAGGGAAGGAGTTCCCCTGTTTCTGCAGGTACAACATATGAATGATTATTAGCAGCCAGCAAAAGTCATAGCCAATCCAGAAAAGCAAAAGACCTGAGTGGTTGCTAAAGCAGCTGAGAAATGATCAATGAGCATTGTTTCTCATTGCTCCAGGGCAAATCACCAGGAGGAGACACCCCTCCTCCGCCCCCACACACACACTCCAATGGTGAAGGTGGTTTTCATAAAGGCATAAGCAGAACTGAAGATGCTCACTGGTGCACAATAGCAGAGGAGGAACAACTTCCTAAATGTGAAGCGGATATACCCTCCACAACTAAATCCTCACTCCCGAAGACAGAATCAGCTCAGTTGATAAAAACCAACAGTATTTGAGATGGACAGTCATTACAACAGGAAAGCTTTGTGAATTCTGAATTCTCCACCCACAATAGTTTGGAAATCCCATTTCTTTTTACCTGATGTATGAGTTTGTGTTCCTTTTCTAAGGTTTGCCCTGACGGTTTTGAAACCAAAAAGAGACATCCTATCTACGTGTCCCCCTGGACACTGAGGAATTCTTGGGAGGTTGTGTATTAGGTTTAACTTTGCTAATAGAGCTGTGAAGTGGTGTGAGTCAGAATGAGTAAGAAGGCAACCAGGAATGGTGTTTGGTGCCCAACTATGCTAATCAGGCTCCAGTCTGAAAGTCTGCCTCTGAGGTTTCTGAACCATTAAAGAGAAATCCTCCCCTGACGTTTCAAATTGTACACCTTACTACAAAACATGTGCTCTTATTTCTGTCTTTTGCCAAGTTCTTCCCAACTCACCTCTGTAAGCTCCCTTCCTACTTGAGAGCTCCCTTTCCTCAGGCTTCTCAATGTCCAGGACCCAGGATTCTTCCCCTCGTTCCAGCTGAGAGATAACATCAGGCTTGGAGCCTAGAAATCCTTTTCATGAGAAAGAAAATGGAATGTGGTCAATTAAAGTTCATGCTAGGAAATCAGTTGTCTCTTAGAGGTGTCTCCAGTGTCCTAAGTCAGCATGCAGTGGATGGGAAGAGTTAAAAAGAGCCCCAGATACACCACAGAGATCCAAGACAGGAGTAAAGGTTCTATATGTACAAAAACATTTGCAGCAACTCTTTTGTTCCACTAAAGAACTGTAAACAAACTTATTTCCATAGTTGAGAATGGTTGAACAAATAATGAAATGTGAATGTAATGAAACATTATTGCACATTGAAGAAATGGCAAAAAGTTTCAAAGAAACTGAGGATGACTTGCAGGAGCTGATGCAGAGTGAAGTGAGAAGAACCAGAAGAACAATTTATACAATGACTACAATACTATAAAGGAAAACAATTTTAAAGGACTTGAGAACTCTGATCGATGAAATGACCAATCATGATTCCAGATATCAGATGCTGAATCATGCTTCCCATCACTTGGCAGAGATGTGAAAAATCGGAAGTACAGAATGAGATGTACATTTTCATATACAAGCAACGTGTGAATTTCTTTTGCTTGATTTATTTGTTACAAGGAAAAGTTTTAATGGGGGAGAGGAGAATGAGGGTAGAGTAGAGGAGTAGTGATAGTGATGGAAAAAGAAAAATGCATCAATGAAACATTTAAAAAATACACAGAAGAGAACAGAAGTTCACAATGGGACACAAACAAGCAGGGCAGTGTTGACACTACCATGTTAAATTTAACATATACTTTAGTAAAGACTGATGGTTTCATATACAATCCTCTTTTTCTGTTCTTTGTTTATGGAAATGTTCATGGTTTTTTATGTTGGTCAAGTTCATGATAATAAAAAAGAAAAAAAAAAACCACAAGGTCAAAAAGATGACCCAGCTAATAGGATAGGAAAGTGTGGCAAGATCCAGTAATCCCTGATGGGGGTTCCTGACTGTGTTCCTAGAAGGAAGATAGTTCAGGAGGTATTACCAACTAGCTCTTTCTTACCCAGTGAGATAAAGTTTCCATAATTCTCCAGCATCACGTCCCTGTACAGGTCTCGCTGAGCAGGTTCAAGAAGACCCCATTCGTCACGTGTGAGATACACAGCCACATCTTCAAAGGTTGCCACCTCCTAAAACAACACATTACTGCTGCTTCAGAGAGAGACTCAGCATGGAAGCGAGGTGTAATGGAAAGAGCACTAGGATTTGGAGTCAGAGGGCCCAGGGCTGCTGCCTATAACTTGGTGTGCCTTTGGACAAGTCACTTCCCCTCAGTGGCCTCGGTTTCCTAGATGATTGCAGAGATCTGTTCCCTCTTTAAATCCATAATTCTAGTAGGAATGATTGAATACAGTACCTATTTGTAGAAGATGTTCATTACTTAACTTCTAACAAAAAGAGGTGGCTGAAAATACACATTAAATGACTAGATAAATCTACAACTATCAAGGGATCTGTCACCATTATTAATATTTATTAATAATTAGCCAGCAGTTTTACTTAACTGCTTTTTCTCCTCCTGCCCCCCTTCATTTTCATTCTTTGTTACAAAGGATGGCTCTCTGGAGAGGTGAGGGAGAAGAGGTATATGTGTAAATGTAGGTGATATAAAAACAAAAGATAAAAATAAAATTTTTAAAACTAATTAGGAGGACTGTTTATCTTCAACCATCTCCTTGCAAGCATAGACTACTGTTTTCTGATGATCCTGAGTCACAATGAGTGAATGGGCAGCTAGGGCAAAGAAAACAAGCTTTCCAGGATATAGAGAAGGGAGGACAGCTGGTTGTTCTACACTTAGGCACCAATGATATCACTGACCAGTGGTCAGGAAGTCCTTGTGAATAAAGTGATTGCTAAGCAGGAGAATGAAGGCCAGGACCCCAAGAATGGTATTGTCTGTTGCATGTGATTTAGCCCAGAGACACGCAGAGCTCTGGGATGGAGGAAAGTTCAATAATCATCAGGAGTGGAGGGTCTAGGTCTGCAAGCTATTTCCCAAAGGAAATCCCTGGGCTGCTGGCATAAAAACCCAAGATGGTTACATGGTTTTTAACCTAAAAATCAAAGGAGAGCTCTTAAGTACAGAGGCACAGGCTGATCTTTGTAGAAGGTAGAGGGGCCTCCAACGTTCTGTTGAGAAGAAATATGGAGGAAAATATGAGAACGATAAGAAGTTACACTATGTACCAGAGTACCAAATGATATTTGGGTACAAAACATTTTGCATGCAGTGCCTAATTTGATCTACAGGACAGCTCGGAGACATAACAAGTACAGGTATGATTAATAACATTTTACAGATCTTCAGAGTGGGAAGGCAATTCTGTGACTTGCCTAAATGCATACAACACAAACACCTTCAAAGAATCAGAGAACCACAGAGCAAAGCAAGACTTCAGAATTCATCTGATCAAATCTTGAGCTGAACCAGAATCCTCGTTATGGCTTTACTAGAAGACCTCAAGTTAGAGGGGACCCACTACCTCCTAGTCAGCCCACTCCACTTTTCAACAGATCTGATTGTTAGGTAAATTTTCCTTACACACAGCTAAAATCTGCTTCTGTGCAACTTCCACTGATTATTTTTGCATTAAAATAATCAACTTTGGAATCAAGATGTTTGTGTTTCAACTGACTAAAATGCACTTCCTAAAACATGGCACCTAAAATTGAATCTATTATGCCTAGGTGGGCCCGTTGGTGCCCAACAAAACAGGTCTATTCTTTCTTCCACATACTGGGCCCTGAAGTACTTTAAGATAATTATTATTTTCTCTACGTAACTTTTCTTCATGCTTAATATTCCAGTTCCTTAAATCAGTTCTCATAAGGTATCAGCTTGTGGCTTAGACTGTGATGTCCAGAACTGAACACAATATTCCAGGTACAGTCTGACCAAGGCAGAGTACAAGGCCCTATTCCTGGACACTAAGCTTTCCTTAATGTAGTCAGAAATTAGATTGATGTTCTTGGATTCTGTATCACACTGCTGACTCACATTGATTTTGAAGCCCACTGAAACTCCGAGACTTGCTGACTAGCCACCTTGAATTGTGAAGTTGATTCTTTAAACCCAAGCATAAAGCTTGGAATGTATTGCTATTCAATTTCATGTTGATTTGTTCAAAGTCCCAGCTCATCAAGATCTTTTTGAACCCTGATGCCAGTCAGTATGTGAGCTAATCCTCCAGCTTTATGTCATTTGCAGATTTTAGAGGCACACAATCTACAGTGTTCTATCTAAGTCATTGATACACAGCAAGGGGCTGGACACAGATCCCAGAAGCACTCCCTTCCGAGCTGGCATTGAACTGCTAATCAGACTACTCTACATTTGAATCCTGCCTCAGACACTTAGGAGGCAAGTGATCAGACTCAGTTTCCTAATCTGTACAGTCACACTTGATGACCTCTATGATCCCTTCCTGCTCTAAATCCATGATCCTATGGGTCATTCAATCAGACCCATATCTACCTCATCCTACAATGTTCTGGCCCATTTCTCTCCATCTTTTCAACAAGAGTATAAGAAACTTATCAAATGTTTTGCAAAGATGTAAGTAAACTATGTCTATAGCATTTCCCCAATCTAACAAATTAGCATTTCTGAAGGGAAAAGACTCCAAATAGCTAGGATTTAGCATTTATATCATGTTATAAAGTTTGCAAAACACTCTACAAATTATCTAATCTGATCCTCACAACAACTTGAGAGATAGGTGTTATTGTTATGTCCACTTTACAGAAGAGGAAACTGAGGTACAAAGAGCTTAAGTGACTTTTCCCAGGGTCACACAGATATTAAGTGGGGGTAATATTCAAACTCAGATCTTCCTGACTCAGGGTTATATCCACTGTGCCACTCCGCTGCCAAATCCAGAGCTCTTTCCATAATACCCTGAAGCTTACCTGGAATCCACCCACCTCACTGCCAGATAGATTAATTTCTTCTCATTACCCAATTGGTTTTTATTTTTACTTCAACTATTAAACAGCATTTCTCCAGTGATTGGTTGTTTAGTGATCATGTAAGCTGACCAAACATCAGAATCTGTTCAATTCCACCTTTTAAGAGAGACATTAACAAATTCAAATGAGTCCATGGGAAGGATCTGATCAGGATGGTGACAGGTCTGTTAACATATAAATTATATTTGCAGTTAAGAGACCTGAGTATATTTAGTTTGGAGAAGAGAAGAATTAGGAGGGATGGACTAGATATCTTTGGAAGGCAAAATTCGAACCAGTAAGTGGAAATTACAGTGAGACAAATGCCAGCTTTCCATAAGAAAAAAAAAATTCTTATCAATACAGCAGTCCAAAAATGGAAGTGGCTCTAGGAGTCAGTGGGTAGCCTATCACTGGAGATATTATAGCCAAGGTTAAGTAATCATTTATCAAGAATGTAGTAGGTGGCAGCTAGGTGGCGCAGTGGATAGAGCACCAGCCCTGAAGTCAGGAGGACCTGAGTTCAAATCCGACCTCAGACCCAACACTTGACACTTACTAGCTGTGTGACCTTGGGCAAGTCACTCAACCCTAATTGCCTTAAAAAAAAAAAAAGACTGTAGTAGAAAATATTCCTATGAGAGGGTGGCCTAGATGACCTCTAAGTCTTTTTTGCCACTTTAAATTTTATAATGTGAATGTTTCTCTACAAGAAGATTCAAATACAGTTTAGGCAAACATTTAACAATTAAGTCATATGATTTGCATGTGAGATTTAGTTTGAGGAGAATAATTCATCAGATACAGAGATTACACATTACAGACTGATGAAAATAAGGAAGAAGGGAAAACAGTTGTAGAATTGTATACAGAGAAAAGAATAATCATTCAGTGTAAATATTTCACTAAAAGAAAAGTATTCAATAGCATCTCTGTGGGCAGAAATTCCATACATGAATAATAAAAATGGAATAATTGGGAAACTAGCAAAGACCATCTTATATACAAAATGAGACTATGCTAGAAATATTAAATGTGATTGAAGAAGTAAAAAGCCAGTGAGGCATTTACGTTATCAGCACAGCAGGAAGGAACACCTCATCGGGGGAAGGTATTGAGGAAAGTTTTCTGAATAAGCCAAAACCTTTTGATCGTGCAGTTTTAGAATCATAAAGGAGTTGCTCAGCAGTCAACTGGTAGGGAAGGGATTTTTGCCGCTACTGACCAAGATTCCAACAATTTGGAGTTTAATACAAAGACAGGAGTGGGAAAAGACAGTAGACCAGGGGATGATAATTAGCCCCTACTTCAAAGCAGTGCTGTGAAGATACAATGAGATAATACCTATAAAGCCCTGTATAACCCTTAAGTTACCTATTCAGTCCTGTCTCTGTTACTAATTCCTGAGCAGTTTTGAATATGTCATCTCTCTAGGTTGCAGCTTTCTCATTTGTAAATAATTTGGCTTTTTTTGTTTTGTTTTTTTGTTGTGTTTTGGTTTTTTGGCTAGGCAATGGGGTTAAGTGACTTGCCTAGGGTCACACAGCCAGTAAGTGTCAAGTGTCTCAGGTCATATTTGAACTCAGGCCCTCCTGCATCCAAGGCCCAAGCTCTATCCACTGCCATCATCTAGCTGCCCCCTTTTTTGTTTTTTGTTTTGTTCTCGTTTTTTTTTTTCATTTGTAAATAATTTGGAAGTGGAACTAGATGCCCTCTAAGGCCCTGTCTAGTTCTACAATACTAGAAATCTAAACCAAAAGAAAATCCATCTTTGTTACTGACTTCTAGGAAATGGCTATAAAACAAAGTTTATCCAGGAGTTAAGAAAAACAAGTAATTCATATTATTAAAAGCCCTCCAAAATATGTGTCAGCAAATAAAATGCTCAGATAGCATTTTGAGTTTTATTTCCATCATAGTAAGAGAGTCTTCCTTAAGTCACTTGCCAATTGCTCAAGTTTTCTTTTTGTTTTTGATTAGTGTTATCACTAATCTGGAAAATTTTGAAAGATTAGAGATGGGATTGAAAGCTGAAAGGAGGAAAATACTGTCTTAATTTTCAAAAAAGGGAAAATAACTGGATTCTGAGATCTATAAATTCATTAGTTTAACATTAAACACTGGCAGAACTCTAAGATTATTAAACTAATGACTTACAAAAACTTGAATAAGGGGTGATCACTAATGTTATCATAGGTTTACTAAAAAATCAGAATGAGATATCTTGTAGTTTAGTGAACTATATGTTAATAAAGGTATCCAGGTGAAAGCTAGATGTCTGAGTTGTCAGGATTTTATAGAGGGCCTGGAGTAGAAGACCTCACAATTTAAAAATATTCTGAGGGAGCTTAGACACAAAGGGGTGAGTACCATGTTGAACATCATGGAAGTGGAGCAGACCCTTCTGATGCTGAAGTCCAAGAGGTGTTCCAGATGAAGGGAAGCCAATGGCAGGTAGAGAAGGCACTGACTTCTGAGCTGCCTCCACAGATCTTGTCACACTGTGAAGACTCCCGTCTTTATGCACAGATGGGGACCTGAGGATGATTAAAATCACAGTAAGTTGAAAATAGGTTAGGAAAGACATTATCATTCAGTCAAAGCTTCAGAGTAGAGAATTATCTGCAAGGGTTAAAGAAGGACAGGCATTTCCTTCTGGAATGCAGAAAATAGCACGGAAAGGTAGATGCTGACCAACAATTAAGGAAATTAGCCACAGTAGCCTCTGAAATGAATTTTCTTCTTTATATGTGTCAAGAAGCTTTGTTTTTTAATCATTATAGATATAAATGATTCCCACCTTTCCTATAATTGTCACTTTTCCTAGTGAAGACAGTCCTTATACTATATAAATGTAGGTGTGTATGATTGTAAATGATCTGTTCCCTCTTGTATATGATAATAGGCAATCGAGTCCAATCTATCCTTGATACCTCCTGGACTAACTGTCCTTGACAAGGATCTCATCATGCTGTTGCTCTAATAAAAACTGTTCATCAAAGGTGCTTAGTCTAGCTTTCAAAGCCTTTCTGAAATTCATTCATTTATCCACCAAGCATTTATTAATACACCATGCTAGAGGCAAATGACTAAGGAAGGAAAGGAAGAGAGGGAGAGAGGGAAGATGGAAAGGAGGGAAGGAGGAAAGAAGGGAGAGGAGGAGAGAAGGAGGAAAGAAGGGAGAGAGGAAGGAAAGAAGGGAGAGAGGAAGGAAAGAAGGGAGGGAGGAAGGAAGGCAGGCAGTAAGACAGGGAGGGAGGGAGGGTCCCCAACAGCCAGAAGCTTACATTCTTCTAGAGTTCTAGCTCTACCCAAACCGGATTGTGAACAGTTCCTCTTTTAAGCTCTCTCCGTTTCTGAAACCCCATCCCAATCATCATGAAAGCCAAGCTCTGACAAGAGCTCCTCCAGGCCACACCTCCCTGCATCACTCTGGCCTCACTAGGCCTTTGGTCTGCACCTCTCTCAAGCACTTTTCATGAAGTGAGCTTTAGCCTGGCGGGTTCTAAGCTTCTGACAATGACATCGACAATATTGACACTGACAGTCTCAATGGCCCTCCGACCCCCTCATCTCGCAAATGGAGAAACTGAGGCCTAAGGAGGGGGAGGGACTGACCCCTACACCATACGGGGAGTCAGTCATTCAGCAGGGAGCCCTAGCCCAGAATTCACCTAAATGCCCCAGCTGAGGAGGAAGAGGCTTAGAGCCTTAGGGAAAGAGAGGCGGGGCCAGGAGAAGGGGCGGGGCTGTCCGACCACGCCCCCACAGGAAGTCGTGTCCTGTAAGCGCCGGGAGTTGGACGGGCAGAGGGACTCCCGTCCTCCTCGGCCCGCACGGAGCAAGATCCCGCATGCGGAGCCTAGGCCGTTTTGGGGCCAGAGACCCCTCCGGCTTCACACAGCAACCCGACTCCTCCGACCGGGCCTCAGGCAGGAAGTGTTCCCCCTCTTCCGCCCCGCCCCCGTCGCACTTCCGGCGACGCTCTGGGATGCAGGGAGGACTCGGCCCCTCGGTAACCCGTCTAGCGGTCTGAAGGGCACTGGGAGCGAACCGACCTCACAAAGTAGGAAAATTAAGTGGGAGTGGGGGGACCAGGGCGACTGAGGGAACTGGAGAGAGGAGGGGGAGGGGGAGGAGAGGAGAGACAAGAGAGGAGTGGAGAGAGAAGAAGGAAGAGAGGAGAGAGAAGAAGGAAGAGAGGAAAGAGAAAAGGGGGAGAGGAAAGAGAAAGGGAAGAGAGGAGAGGAAAGAAACAGGGGAGAGAGAAAAAGAGGAGAGAGAAAGACCGGAAAGAAGAGAAAGGATAAGAAAGAAGGGGGAGAGAAGAGAGAAAATGGGGAGGGAGAGGGAGAAAAAAAGAGGGAGAAGAAAGGAGGGATGGAGGAAAACTAGGGAAAGGGAAGGGAGAATGGGAGAGAAAGAGGGAGGGGAGAAAACGGGGAGGGAAGGGAGAAGCATAAGAGGGGAAGGGGAAGAGAGGCATCAAGAATGAGAATCTACTGGAAAAAAAACCTGCCTCTGAAGCCCCTCTGCCCAAATTTCTTGGCTTGCCTTAATGATCACTTCACCATTCAAAAACTGGAGGACCCAAGGAAGAAAACGTATTCTGGACCTTATTCTGACCAAAAGAGAAAATAGTTTGCTGGGGTAGACATGGTGGGAACTTCAGGGAGGCAGTGACAATTCCATCTTAGAATTTATGAGAGAAGACAAATTGGAACATACTCTGATGGATGCTCTAGATTAGAGAAAGCAGAAAACAAAGGGTTTCAGAGAAAGGATAGGTAGGATTCCCTGAACTAAAATTCTACCAAGTCACCCCCAGGAGCAATGAAAAGCTCTCAAGAATGAAATTCTGAAGACACAAAGAAAAAAACGATTCTGATAAACAGGAAGTGGGAAAGGTGTGAAAGCTCATCCCCACCCCACCCCCAAGACTGAACTATATTCTGGGAAAGGGCACCAAAATAACCACTTCTCCTTCTTTCCAAGGAAGATCAGGAGGACGAGTATGATGCCGGCACAAGGTTTTGGGCGAAGATATATGAAGGCCTTTTTGAAAGGTTTCTTTGTTGCTGTGCCTGTAACAGTAACTTTCTTAGATCAAGTGGCCTGTGTAGCGAGAGTGGAAGGAGCTTCGATGCAGCCTTCTTTGAATCCTGGGGGAAGCCATTCATCTGATGTGGTGCTTTTGAACCACTGGAAAGTTAGGAATTATGAAGTGCAGCGTGGTGATATTGTGTCATTGGTATCTCCCAAAAACCCAGAGCAGAAGATCATCAAAAGAGTGATTGCTCTTGAAGGAGACATTATCAAAACAATGGGGCATAAGAATAGGTATGTGAAAGTCCCACGTGGCCACATGTGGGTGGAAGGCGATCATCATGGACACAGCTTTGACAGTAACGCTTTTGGGCCAGTTTCCCTGGGACTTCTTCATGCCCATGCCACCCATATTCTGTGGCCTCCCAAACGCTGGCAGCGTTTGGAATCCATTCTCCCACCAGAGCGTGCACCAGTTCAGATTGAAGAGAAGTGACCTCCTTTGCATCTGCATGGCCTCTTTGATTTAGGAAGACAATATTTAAAAAATGGAAGGCAGGGAAAAGTGGCCTTAAAACTTAAAAGGCATATGCATTGGTTGAGGCTGCAAAAGGAGTATTCCTATATCCTATGGTTTCACATTGAAGAAAAAGATTTCTTTTCAGATGAAACAACTGAATGGTATACAGTATTTTGTCTGGAGTACTTGTACTCCAGAATAAATGTCCTGACAGTACAGTACCAAAAAAGAAATTTACAATGTGGTTGTTTCATTGGCCTTTCCCTGTGTCATGGTAGGATTGAATTGTTGGTATACTTGTTTCTTAATCTGTCGATTGTTGATTTTTTAAAATTTGGGTTTCAGCTTATGAAAGATTCTGAATTAATGTTAAGCTTAATGAAAACATGTTCATCTAGTAAGTAATTCATGCGTGATTCAGCTTGAATATGAAGAAATAGTGACACAGATGCAATGTGCTTTTAACTGTCAGCATTCATTCATTAAAAAATGAATAGTGAACTTTGACAAATAATGATTCACTTTTTTAAAAGGTAAAAAGGAGGTCAGTCCTAAAAAGACATGTTAATGGACAGGGAACTCTCCAGCAAAAATAATTTTTAAAATCTAGAGTGCTGTGTTGGAAGGGGGAAAGATATATTTGCAAATAAAGGTGGTATTTACAAAAAGGTATTTAAATGAGATTTTAAAAAAATAAAGAAATATGCACAAGAAGGAAGCAATGGGCAATGGAGCATGAATACAAAAGCTTGGTATGTTGTATGAGTAGATTCAGTAGTAATAAAACTTAGAATGGTCTGAAGGTCAAGTCAGAGACACTGGCAGTGTCTAAGACTTTATCCTTCACTGCAACTTCTGTGGTGACAGGAACAAGCCAAAACTGTGCAGAAGCAGGGACATAGGGTCTTAGGATAACCTGGATAGACATGATTATCTGCAATCCAGAATCAGCTAAATAAACTAAGATGATTCCTGCTTTTGTCCCTGCTGGAAGAGGGGGATGGGGACATGTGTAGTGTTTTCTCTCTCCATAGTCTTTTATACCTGGAAGGAAGGGAAAGCCTTTTCCTTCTTCCCATTTCTGTATATGCCTTGAGTGTCAGTGCTTGGAGACTGAAGATCCAGGTGGGAAATGGACCCAAAGGAAGAGATAGCAATGACTGTCATCACTTTATCAGAGGAGAATAGATATATTTTCTTTTTAGTTTTTATTCTATGTACATTAAAGATGAAATGACGTACCAGATCTAAAACTATTATAAAGCAGCAGTCATCAAAACTACTTGGTACTGGCTAAGAAATAGAGTGGTAGATCAGTGGAACAGGTTAGGTACATGACACAGTAGACAATGACTATACTAATCAACTGTTTGATAAACCCAAAGATTCCAACTTCTGTTTGATAAACCCAAAGATTCCACCTTCTGGGATAAGAACTCACTGTCTGACAAAAACTGCTGGGAAAACTGGAAAATAGTATGGCAGAAACTAGGCATAGACCAACATCTTACACCCTATGCCAAAATAAAGTCAAAATTGGCACATGATTTAGATATAAAGGCTGATAATGTAAGCAGACTAGGAGAGCAAGGAATAGTTTACCTGTCAGATCTATGGAGAAGAAGAATTTATGACCAAACAAGAGACAGAGAACATGATGAAATGCAAAACGGATGATTTTGATTATATTAAATTGAAAAGTTTTTGCACAAAGTCAATGCAAACAAGATTAGAAGGGAAGCAGAAATATGGAGCCAATTTTTATAGTCTCTGAAAAAGGTCTCATTTCTAAAATATATAGAGAACTGAGTCAAATTTATAGGAATATAAGTCATTCCCCAGTTGATAAGTGGTCAAAGGATATGAACAGGCAGTTTTCAGAGGAAAAAATTAAAGCTATCTATAGTCATATGAAAAAATGTTCTAAATTACTATTGATTAGAGAAATGCAAATTAAAACAACTCTGAGGTACCACATCACACCTATCAGATTGGGTAACATGACAAAATAGGAAAATGACAAATGTTGGAGAAGATGTGGGAAAATTGGAACACTAATGCATTGTTAGTGGAGTTGTGAACTGATCCAACCATTCTGGAGAGCAATTTGGAACTATGCCCAAAGGGCTATAAAATTGTGCATACCCTTTGACCCAGCAATAGCACTTCTAGGATTGTATCCCAAAGAAATCATACAAATGGGAAAAGGACCCACATGTACAAAAATATTTATAGTAGCTCTTTTTGTGATGGCCAAGAATTGCAAATGAAGGGTATGCCCGTCAATTGGGGAATGGCTGAACAAATTGTGGTATATGAATGTAACGGGATACTATTGTTCCATAAGAAATGATGAGCAGGCAGACTTCAGAAAAACCTGGAAAGACTTGTATGGTTTGATGCTGAGTGAAGTGAGCAGAACCAGGAGAACAGTAACAGCAACATTGTGCGATGACCAACTTTGATAGACTTAGCTCTTCTCAGCAATGCAATGATCTAAGACAATTCCAAAAGACTCATGATAGAAAATGCTATCCACATCCAGAGAAAGAACTGTGGAGTCTGAATGCAGATTGAAGCATACTATTTTCTCTTTTTTTTTTGTCATGGTTTTTCCCTTTTGTTCTGATTTTTTCACAACATGACTAACATGGAGATATGTTTAATATGATTGTACATGTATAGCCCATATCAGATTGCATGCCATCTTGGGGGAAGGGAAGGGAAGGGAAGGGAAGGGAGAAGGAAAATTTAGAACTCAAAATCTAATGTTGAATGTTGAAAATGAAAAATAAATTAATTTAATTTAAAAAAATAAAGATGAAATGAACTCCTATTTTGTGTCTAAATCTATGGGTGCCAAAGGAAGATAACTGACAGTAAACTACTTAAAAGGTTGGGAGGCTGGAACCAAAAGGTAATAATGCCCATATTTTAATATTTTTTCAGGATTTTATCTCCTAGCCTATGACCTGAGAACAAGGAGAAAAATACTTTATAACTACAAGTACTACTGTGGTGGTTGGAAAAGTGACTCAGGCTTCCTGGCTTCCTGGGGTTTTGAATACCCTCTCATATCCAGAAGGGAAACTGCAGTCTGTTAAAGGGTACCTAGCCCTAAGTCGGAGTATGGATTGGTTTCTCCTTAGGACACATAGCGCCCTGGAAGGTTGAAAGGATCATTAAG